TATAATCAAAGCAACTCTCAGAAAAGCAACAAATTTTGTGCTGCTACTGTTGTCTAGCCAAATTGTTGCGGTGCCTGGGATTGGGATCTGTCAAAAACCAAGATTAGCATAACTATCCTCAGCCCAAAGTCTGGCTATGTTTGTGTTTTGAGTTTGTTCTTAGTTTACCCTTTCCCCAAAACACATACCTCTTACTTGTTTAGGTTTGAGATAAGACAGCATGCCTGGGACCAGCCTATTAGAGGTTTATCCTGTTCTTTCTGGTGCCCACTGACCTGTAACCCAGCCTTCCTAAAAGAGTAAACAAAATTCTGAAATCCCAAAGCATTGCCAGGTGTGAGCAAAACCCCCATTTCCACCCCAAAATAGAGAACTCTGGGTTTGATTTTTTTGACACACATCTAATTTGAGTTTCGTATTCATTACCTTCAGGATAGCAATGCACAGATCTTATTTAGACCAACTTTTAATAATGACTTCCATTCCACTGAAAATCCACTGTTAATAAATTTGTGAATTGTTGCTACCCATTTATTTGTCTGAAAACACTGTTGGTTCTGTGAAGCATCTTTCAGTACCTCACGCTCTCCGCCAGCCTCAGAGAAGTGGAGGCAGAGAGGAACAGAGGACAGGGTGTGGGCAGGACGAAACCCTAATAGAGTTGAGATCAGGGCAGAGAAGGTGGAAGTGGTGTTAGACATTCTAGGCGGCGGGGGGAGGGGGGGTTGAGGGTGGGGAGGAAGAAAGGGAACAACTCAGAAACTGTCATTTTCTTTTCTAAAAATCAACACACCCCATTTTTCCTTTCTGGGGCTAGAGCGATAGCACAGTGGATATGGCGTTTGTCTTGCATGCAGCCAACCAGGGTTTGATTCCCAGCATCCTATATGGTCACCCAAGTACCTCCAGGAGTAATTCCTGAGTGCGTGAGTCAGGAGTAAACCCTGTGCATCACTAGGTGTGACTCAAAAAGAAAAAAAATTTCCCTTGGAAGTTGGGAGAAGCATGCTGAAAGTAGACTATAGACCAAACATGATTGCCACTCAATGCCTCTTTTGCAAACCACAAAACCCAAGAGGACAGAGAGAACAAAAGGGAATGCCCTGCCACAGAGGCAGGGTGGGATGGGGGGGATGGGGAGTGGGAGGGATACTGGGATCTGTGGTGGTGGGAAATGGGCACTGGTGGAAGGATGGGTATTTGAGCATTGTATAATTGAAACCCAAGCACAAAAATTTGTAAGTCTACAACTGTACCTCATGGTGTCTCATTAATAAAAATTTTTAAAAAAAGAAAGAAAAAAATTTTTTTAATTTTATTGATTTTGCCACTGCCAAAGATAAGGAGGACAAAGAAACCCCCAGTTAGGGCTCTGCATTCTCCTTTTCCCTTCCCTTCATTATTGTTGCGATAACCAGAGGTTGTACCCACCCCTGGCTGTAGTGTTCACTGGGGCTTGCACGTCTGGCATCAGTGCAACCACTCAAAGCATTTGGTCTTTGAATAAATGCTCATTGGGGTCAAACATTGGCTACAAGGCTTGGACAACTTTGAGTTGATGTTTCCATCAGGTGACACACATATTCTATTTGTGCTGCTTACACACACTGGGCAGTGGCACACCTGAACTTGAACTCTCTGTTGTGACTCCCAGGGTCCCAAACAGTGGAGCCACTAGGACCATTGTCAGTGTATGTGAGTATCACTGGGGATCAGACTCATGGATTCATACTTCCCAGGCAATGCTGCCACTAAGTGATGCCCAGTTCCCTAAATCTGCAATTTTTTTAATGCCAGATCTCTGAGTTCCACTTCACACACAGTCAAGGGTCAAGTGGTAGTTGCATGAGTGATAGTCTATATTACAGGAGAATCCTGATTCTCTTATCATGGGCCACGGGCACGGTTGTACTTTATTGGACGAGAATTATTGACATTTCCCAGTCTGCCCAGCAAAAAAAACAGTCTTGAAATGACAGAGCATTCCATTTTAGAATTGTCCACATTCAACTTGGGGTGTGAAGTTCTTTTCTTTCCTTTTATGGGGCTCCCTCTTGTCTCTCACAAATTTCCTAAATAAAACTTGTTTCTTTGTTTGTTTGTTTGGGGGCTACACCTGGCAGTGCTCTGGGACAACTCCTGGTTCTGCACTCAGGAATTACTCCTGACAGGCTCAGAGAACCTTTTGGGATGCTGTGGATTGCACTCAGGTGGGCTGTATGCAAGGTGAGCTCCCTACAGGCTGTACTCTTTCTGGCCCTAAAACTTTTTTTTTAATTTCACTATCTGTCTTCTCCAAAAATTCTTTTTCAGATCATAAAGACAAGAGCCTGAACTCAGGTGGAGGTTGAGACTGAGTTTTTTTCTTTTTTTTTTTTTTTTACCAGTTGGAGGCAACACTTCATAACTTCATTTAGAAAAGCTATTCCAGGAAAAAAAGGTGAAGAAACTATATCAAAACTGCCAGGAGAGCTCCCATTTGACCCAGCAATACCACTCCTGGGAATATATCCCAGAGAGACAAAAAAGTATAGTCGAAGTGACATCTGCATTTGTTTGTTCATTGCAGCACTCTTTACAATAGCCAGAATCTGCAAAAAGCCTGAGTGCCCGAGAACAGATGACTGGTTAAAGAAACTTTGGTACATTTACACAATGGAGTACTATGTAGCTGTTAGAAAAGATGAAGTCATGAAATTTACATACAAGTGGTACTACATGGAAAGTATCATGTTAAGCAAAATGACTCAGAAAGAGAGGGACAGACATAGAAAGATTGCTTTCATCTGGGGAACACAAAGTAACAAAATAGGAGACTAACACCCAAGAGTGGTCCATAATAGTACCAGGAATTTTGCTCCATGGCTTGGAGGCCAGCCACACATGCTAGGGGAAAAGGGAGCTCAGATACAGAAAGGAGCACCAAATAAAGGCTGTTGGGAGGATCCTCCCAGGATGGGAGAAGCATGCTGAAAGTAGACTATAGACCAAACATGATTGCCACTGAATACCTCTTTTGCAAACCACAACACCCAAAAGGAGAGAGAGAACAAAAGGGAATGTCCTGCCACAGAGGCAGGGTGGGATGGGGGGATGGAGGGGTAGGATGGATACTGGGATCCGTGGTGGTGGAAAATGGGCAGTGGTGGAGAGATGGGTACTTAATCATCGTATAACTGAAACCCAAGCACAAAAATTTGTAAGTCTGCAACTGTAGCTCATGGTGTTTCACTAATAAAAATTTAAAAATTTAAAAAAATTAAAAATTTAAATTTTATAAAAGAGCAAAAGGAGAAAAGAAATAATCCCATCAAAATCTGCAGTTCAGTTGCAAATACGGGTTGAAAGGGTAGAGCAAACAAAAGGCCCTCTGAAAGGCCTCCTGAAGTTTATCATGAGCAAGAACTACTTCAGGTCTTGGAGAGTATTAAACAAAAGGTTCTCTGAGAAGATTCCCGAAGCTTATTCCAGGTGCCTCCCTCCACTGACCAATAAACTTACCTCAGTATGAGAACCAAAGCTTCCAAAATATCCTTGTGGTAGGAGTCAGTTCCCATGCCACATAGATCAAGTATGTTCTCCACTGCAGTTTGACAGCTGTCATAGTGAGACGGGCAGGATCTTAGAGCTCATAGTGCAAGAATGCAAACAGACTTTTACCAGTCCTGACCTTGCCAAGTAATCACCCGACTGTGAGTACATTTGGCGAGCCAGGCAAGAGTGAGCAAATGTTTTCTGCTGGGGCTGAAGAGATAGTACAGAGGGTAAAAGGCACTTGCTTTGCACACAGCTGGCTCGAGTTCGATTCCTGACATCCCATATGCTACCTCAAGCATCACCAGGAATGATTCCTGTGTCAGCACCAGGAGTAATCCCTGAGCATCATCAGGTGTGGCCCAAGAAACAGCAACAAAATAAGTTTTCTGTTGTGGTTACTTACTCTCTGATTCCACTTTGCACCTACTACACTGATATATGCCATTCGCACCCCTGCCTTGGAGTTTTTGCATCTGCTATTCCCTCTGCCTAGAATATCCTTGATGTGGTTCACTCCCTCACCTAATTCTGATGTTTCCCAGCCTAGAGTCACTTTCTGTCCCCTCACATTGTCTTACTTTTCTTCAAAGCATTTATCGTAACAGACATTGCACTTGTTTAATCTTCCCTCAGTTGAAGATAAGCTCCTAAGATCCGTTGTTTACTGTTCTAATCACAAGGTCTACATCTGAACACCAAATAGAATGGCATTTCAATTCTATCAATGAATATGTAGTATTGTGGTTGAACTGTGCCCTCCAAAATTATGTACCAAAATCCTAACCCTTAATACCTTAGAATTGTGACCTTGTTTGGAGGGGAAGGAAGAAAAAACCTGTTGTCCCTAAAATATTTTTTTGAAAAAAGGTTCATTTCAGAGGGGAAGGTGACAAAATGGAGTTTACCTTTGAAGAGATAATTGCATGCAAACATCTCCCACAGGAGAATCTCCCAGAAAAGCAAGGAAAGCATTCTTCTCTGTGCTTTCTCTTTCTTCTTGCCAGAGTCTCTAGTTTAGCTACACTATTCAATGATGCCCTCTGAGCCAGAGAGACAACTCAACAGGATGACCCATGGTGTGCATGCAGGAAGACTGGATTCTCATGGTCTCCTAAGCACTGTCTGAAATGACCCTTAAGCACTGTGCCAGGAGCAGCCCCTGAATGCCAATGAGTATGACTTAAAAACAACAGCAACAAAAATGATGTCTTCCTAGGACTCCTGGGTAAGTTACTCAGCTTTGCTCAGTCTCTCTCATATACAGAAGATATATATGCTACTAATAAATTTCTTTTTATTTTTTCTCGTCAGCCATTGCAATGCTTGTGTATTTTTCCAACTTTGAAAGAACCCTGAGGGGTTTATTTTATGCCCCAAGAGGAAATTCTATCTTCAGTGGGGTAATCAAGGTCAAACAAGTTCAGAAGAGTGGTCTCTTACCTTGTAAATGCTATTCATTTTTTAAGGGGAGACTGTGAACACAGCCCCCCCCCACCACCACAAATTACACAGTTGAGTTTCCCCACATTTGGGGAAATCACAGGGGTCAGCACATCTGGAGTACAATGGATAAGCCTTGCCCTGGGAAAACCACCTTTGAAATATGGTGTCTCCCCTGCCAGGTGAGTTATGTGACTGTTAACCTTATAAGAAGGGAATGACACGCACAGAATTTGCTGCTTAGCAGGAAAGCAATACTGTTAACAGCAATACTGCTAACTAATGTGAAAGCAACTCTGCTCACATCAGTGGCATTGAGAGACAGAGTAGCAAAGGCAGCACCATGACAGGCTCATAAAGAAGCCAGAAGAAGCTAGGCCTAGGTTTCAGTTTCAGAATTCCTGGAATTGAGCACAGATACCTGGGATTGAGTCAAGACTTCCCCAAGTGAGATAGCCATGGTGAGGCCATATAAGGGTTACCAATCAGATGCAGGTAGAGAAGTACCCCCTATATAACCATTATTTAACTCTTATATAACTCAAACTTACAACCAAACAGCTAAGTATAAGTAGTAGAAAGCCCCTCAGACTGTGGCTAAAAGGGTGGTCTACAGAAAGTCCCTGTTATATAATGTTATAGTATAAAAGATCCCTCACTTTTGAGACTTGAGGCCGCTCGTTCTGAGAAGGCTGCCACTGTATCGGTGAGCTGGACGAGGGCCCTAGCTCAAACTGGCCAAGCTGGCCAGTAAAGACCCTTTGCTTATTGCATCTCCAACTTGTCTTCGTGTGATTCCTCTGGGGAGATCTCAGCCCGGTTTAACAGCATCAACTACTTGGAGGCAGGCGTTCAACAGAAGCATGCCATCTAACATTTCAGTATGTGCCCTCTCGTGTTTCAATCTACCCAAAGTGCTTTCTATGCACCCCCCCCCCCAAAATCATTGCTTTGAAATGGGTAAAAGATACTATGTCAGGAATGAAACTATCAGGGTGAGAACTGAGGCATCAGTGATGTACTCTGCTTTTCCCAGTGCCTGTGTGTCATTCACACAAGCAGAAGCAAAGAGTTTCTGAATCAGTCAAAATGAGCACCCAGACAGAGGCAACAAGCAGAGGTTCTGCTGGATTCCCTTCCGGGCTGTTTTACAGAGCATGCTCTCCACTCTGTGGCTAGAAAAACAGCCGGATGGGATTGGCTGCAGAAGAAATAATAGAAGAAGACCTTTGAAAACTAGGACAGAGGAACAGGGAGAGGGAGAAGTATGAAGGCAGTCAGTGTTTCAGCATCAGTCGAGGATCTGCCAGCTCACAAGGACACTTCTCAGATGCCTCTGCCTTTACGGACAGCCATCAGGGACCTCTAGTTCATTGCCCTCTTTCTTTCTTCCTTTCCTTCTTCCTGCTTAATCCTGCCTCTTCATTCTGGGATCACTCCTGGCAGGGTTTCAGAGGGGGATGATATGCAGGGCCAGGGATTGAACTCAGAGTGATTGTTACATGCGAGTCAAGTGCCCTACCAGCCGTACTATAGCTCCATGCCCCCCATACCTCCATTTCTGTATGTGTGCGTCACAACAGGTAGTGTTCAGAGGCACTCAGGGATCAAGTCCATACCTCCCCCATGTAAGACGAGAGCTCAGTCCACTGAGCTATTTCTCTGGTTCCCAACTATTTTCACTTCTGTGTAGCTCAAAGGTCCACTGGACTCAACCAGCTCCATCCAGGTTTCATTCTTTAAACCAATTCACCTTTGGGCACCACAAAATCCCTCAGGATAAGAAGTGTCCCTGTCCAGTCCAATGTCTTGGCTTCCACCCTCAGGATTCTATTATAGAATGCTGTCCTCTTGCTCCAAGTTTCTGGCAATGTTTCCAAGGGGCTGAGGCTGCTCCATCCCAATGAAGAAAGATCAAAACCATTATGAATATGTAGATAGATAGATAGATAGATAGATAGATAGATTGATAGATAGATGCAGAGAGAGAGATACTGGAAAACCCAGAAGAAAAAAGAAAGAATGAAAGGAAGAAAGAAAAAAATAAAGGAAGAAAGAAAGAAAGAAAGAAAGAAAGAAAGAAAGAAAGAAAGAGAAAGAAAGAAAACACTGAACCGAAGTGACTTCTCTGCTCCTAAAGACTGTCCTCTTTCTTCTGTTAAGTTTCTCTTTCAAACCATTCCCAACCCTCAGAGATCCTCTGGTTCATTCTACTCTTTTCTTTTCATGCCAATGAAGCTCCTCTTTTCTATTCATTTATTTATGTGCTTCTTTCCAGACAGGAGAAGGAAAATATAAAAGATGGAGCAACTGAGTGTGCATTTAAGCTATGCAGCTGAACGCGAATTACTCTGGTTGTGTTTCAAATAGCTCATTCCTGCTGCATTCCTTCCTGGTGATTTGCCCAGCACTTGGGCTTGGTGACTCAGTCACAGCACCTGGATCTTCTGGTTCCTGGTTGAAAAACATGATTCTGCAGTCAGGATTGTCCCAAGCAGATCTTTCCTCCCAGCCTTCCTTTCCATTATCCACAGGAGAAGCAACTTGGTAATTTTGACTCAGGGCCATTGAAATTTTGTCCCAAGGTAAAATGCTTTCATAACAAAGACAATAGCAATGCCGTAAAAGAGTTTGGGTGTGACCTAATTTACAATTAATTAAACCTGACAATTATTTTAAGAGAGCATACCTGGCGTGTATTCATTTAGCCACATGGCCTGCCTCTTTCATTACAAAACCATCAAATGGCGTTCCGTGTTCCTGCTCTGTCAACAACACAGTCATGAGTAACAATTATGCAACCACAGGTACCGGAACTGTGGCAACCCAAAGGAAAGGTATCATTCAAGAAAACCACCATCTCCTACCAGACTGCTTGGGGTATTTCATTGATTTTGCAAATCTGGACCCTATTCAAAACTCAGTGACTGGTACCCTCTCCCCCAGGCTCAATCAAAATCAGTAAAACACACTGAGTGATTCTTTATTATTATTATTATTATTATTATTATTATTATTATTATTTGCTCGAGTGGGCCCAGTAATGTCTCCATTGGAGACTTTGTTGTTACTGTGTTTGGCATATCGAATACTCTCGGTAGCTTGCCGGGCTCTCCGAGAGGGGCGGAGGAATCGAACACGGGTCGGCCATGTTGGCTGCATGCAAGGCAAACGCCCTACCGCTGTGCTATTATTGAATCACCATGAGACACAGTTACAAAGCTTTCATCTTTGAGTTTCAGTCATAGAATGATCGAACGCTCATCCCTCCAACAGTGCACATTTTCTACCACCAATGTCCCCAATATTCCCAACCATCCCATCCCTCCCTCTGCCTCTAAAGTAGACAGTTTCCCCATATTCTCTCTCTATTTTAAGGCATTATGGTTTGTAATACAGATACTGAGAGGCTATCACGTTTGGTCCTTTATCTACTTTCAGCACACATCTCCCATCCCGAGCAATCCCTCCAACCATTATTGACTTAGTGATCTCTTCTCTATCCTAGCTGCCTTCTCCCCCCAGCTCATGAGGCAGGCTACCAACCATGGAGCAATATTTCTGGCCCTGTCTCTACTATCCTTGAGTGTCAAGTCTCATATTATGTTATTTTATATTCCACAAATGAGTGCAATCATTCTGTCCCTCTCTTCCTGAACTGAGTGGTTCTTATAAAGGATTCCTCCTGATCTTTCCACAGATTCCCCAGCTGAGCACCTCTCCTCAAGAAATCCCAGGACAGCAGAAACCGGGGCTCTTAGGGCTCTGTGCAATTAAGAGTCAAGACCAATCCAAGGAGAGGGCGGGCAGAGACAAGGGCTGAGAGGGTAGGGGCAGTGGAGAAGCCAACAAACAAAGCTCTGTTAATGACTCGATGAATTCACAGGCAGTTGCTGGAGAAGAGAGCCTCTCGGAGACAGAGCCTGATTGATCAGGAGGCTCTGAACCTCCTAATGCTGAAAAAGAGAAAGAGCAACTGACTGCCTCATGCACAAGCCGCCTCAGTCCATTCTGGCAGGGCTCCCCAAAGCCTATGGCAACTTCTGAACTAATAATACACCCGCGCTCCCACCACACCACCCCTTTCTCATACGACTCCAGTAAAACACAGTGAAACCCATGAGAAGTACTCAGAGAAAGAACCACCCAAGAAGGACATCAAAATAACAGGGAGAGAATTTTATTTTACAAGGAGAAATAAACGCCTATGGTCTAAAATTGTTTTTAAACCATACAGACTACTACAAAATGAAAGGCAAATTAGACTTCGCTCATTTCCCCTCCCTACTCCCATCTCCTCCTTAGGAGGCCCACAAAGGTAACCTGTAGGCGTGTCCATTCCTACTCAGTTCCTTCTAACTGGGTCACTGCCTAATCTCTTCCAGTTGAGCCTTGATTGAAATACCCGCCTGGCTCCCTGCCCCACATCCACCCTGTGTGAATACATTCAGGATTCCTCTGCATGGCACCTACTGCTGCCTGGCCTCCTGGAGGTCTGTCTGTATACTCTTTCTGGAAGTTACTGTTCACCTTGTGGGGAAGTACAAGGAAATCTATCTACCATCAGCAAGAGGAGTGTTCTAGTCAAATAAGATAAATCACCATAGGCAGAAGATGAAGAGACCAGGTCACCAGAGCCAAGGGTAGTGGTAATAGACACAAGAGATGCAATTACATAGAGCAGCAACCTGGTAAACAGTGATGCTCCAGAAAATTCACTAACGTTGTTCGTCTGATTCCTTTACACCAAGTTACCTTCTAGTCTAGTCATTGGTTTCCAGTTTTTACTATCAAATAGATTATCACAAGTAATAGAATCTGATTATAGATTTTTATAAAAGGAGAGAGCCATTAAGTGTATGCTTCACCAAATGGCTTTAGCATTTGAGTACATATAAGCGTCTCATGATGTGCTTATCGTTAAGACCCCCTATGATAGATACTTTTATGTATCAACTTGATAGGGTCCTAGTGTCCAGATATTTGGTCCAATTATTTTGGATGTTTCAAGTGAAAGTGTTTTGAGAGTGAGTCTAATATTTAAATTGGTTAGGATAGAGAAAGGGCCACAATAATAGTTAGATCACTCTGGACAAGAACTGAGTGCAACTGAGTGTTGAAAGTAGGTAAAGGGATACACGTGATAACCTTTCAGTATCTGTATTGCAAATCATAATGCCCAAAAGGAGA